CTCTCGCAGTCGATGCACCTCCTCGTCCACCTCTCCCGCCCCGTGGAGGTCGATAACTGAGAGGATCCCAGGTGGAACCAGAGGTGGCCCCCAGACGACCAAGCAGCTGTGAGGGTCTACTCCGACCGTAGAATGCACGCGGCTGCTGCTGCTGTTGCTCCTCCTCCTCCTGCTGTTGCTCCTGCGGGAGCTGCTGCTGCTACTGGTCTTGCAGCCGCTTATGCTGCTGCTGCTCCTCGTCCCCCTAGTGCCGCTCGGCGTCCTCATGCTCCCCCTACTGCTGCTGCTCCTCCTGCTGCTCGTCCTGCTGCTCCCCCTGCTGTTGCTCCTCGTGCTGCGGCTCCTCGTGCTGCTACTGCTCCTCGTCCCGATACTGCTGCTCGGCGTCCTCATGCTCCCCCTGCTGCTGCTGCTGGTGCTACTGCTGCTCCTGCTGCTCGTCCTGCTGTTGCTCCTCGTGCTGCTGCTCCTCGTGCTGCTGCTCCTCGTGCTGCTGCTCCTGCTCCTGCTCCTTGTGCTGCTACTCCCGCTGCTGCCGCTCCCACTGCTGCTGCTCCCGCTGCTGCCGCTCCCGTTGCTGCTGCCCCCGCTGCTGCTGCTCATTCTGCTGCTGCTCCCGCTGCTGCCGCTCCCACTGCAGCCGCTCCCGCTGCTGCTGCAGCTCCTCGTGTTCCTCCTCCTCCTCCTCCTCATCATCATCATCATCATGTCGTTCCTCATGTCGTTGGCCCTCTTGCTGGCCCCGAGCATTCCGTGATGCAATCAGGTGGCTGAAACGCGGGCCGGGTGTGTACGGTAAAATGCCCTCTCTCCTCGTCCACGACGTATCTGAGTCGGACTTGTCACTGTGCCACTCCTCGCAAGGGAATTCATCTCCCTCGTCCTCGTCCTCCTCCTCCCTCTCCTCCTCCTCCTCCTCCTCCTCCTCCTCCTCCTCCTCGAAGACATCCGGTCCATGCGTAGTACTCTGAGTTGCACGACGCGCAGTGACGATGTTGGTGTTGTCCCTCTCAGATCCAGTGGCGCCATGCCTGACTGCATCATCGTCCTCCATATTGAGCATGCCAATTGCCTCGCCTTCAAGATCCTCGTCCACCCAGTCCTGCTCCAGCCCCAACGAACCTCCTTTCATTGTCGGCCCATCTTCCCCCCTGCTCTTCAGTCTTAGGTTCTAGTGCAAGTAAACAAGCTTCTCTGTATGCTTGTGCTTCAGCTGGTTCCTCATCTTCGTCTGCACGAGGGACCACGTGCTCCAGTTCCTCTCTACAGGAGAGGATGTGGTCCATATCGAAAGCACTTTCATGGCCAACATCTTCAACTCCGGATGGCCACCTCCGTGTGCCTCCCACCACAACACTGCATTGTCCTTGTCTGCACTCCTCAACACTGCTGCGTCACCAAAGATCCCTCTGCAAAATTGGAAGTCGTATAGCTGGTCTTTGCAGTCTGTGAACTTCTGACTCCCATTCTTTGCAACGAGACGGTCCACCACGTTATCGAATTGCGCCATCAAGTCCTGATTGCTGAAGACAGTGATGTCCTGCAATCGAGGGTCCAACAAGGGAGTCACGGCATGAACAGGGCTGAGAAGCATGTCCGTCCTCTTTCCCACATCGCGCAAGATGCTGTCCCGCTCATCGTCTGTGAGTGGTGCATGAAGAACACAATTCTTCAGGTCCACGGCAGCGTCGTACACCCTGGACAAGCAGTGGATGTCCTTGTCGACCATCCGCAGCACATCGTAGGGCCCCTTCATCACTCGATACAGCTTCTTCAAATCTTCCCAGAATGCCCTGTCAGTGATGAGGGA